GGATGGGGGTGACTCAGATGGATTCTTTGACCCCCTTACCTTATCGGGTAAAATTTGCGATCCTCCCTTATCATACCTACACCCTCCAACCCCCTCGTAAAATCTCAATTTTTTAAATTTTTATTTTTTAATCAACAATTCAATTTTTATTCAACCAACGCATATAAACGGAGGGATGGGGTTGGTTCAGGAAGATTCTGGGACACCCTCCCCTTACTGGGTAAAACTTGCAACCCTCTGTTATCATTCCTACCCCTTCCATCCCCTCGAGAAATGTCAATTTTCTGAGATTTTCATTTTCGATTTAACAATTTTATTTTTTATTGAATTAACGCATGTGAATGGAGCGATGGGGAGGATTCAGATAGGTTCAGGGACCCCTTCCCCTTGCCGGGTAAAATTTGCAACCCTTCGTTTTCATGCCTCTCCCCTCCCAACGCCTCACGAATCCCAATCTTCGAAATTATTTATTTTAATTAAAAAATGTTTTTTTTTTATTGAAAAAATGGATGGTACGGAGAGATGAGGGTTCAACAAACATATTTCGTCACCTTGAAGGTGTTTTTATACGCTAACACTTTTTCGGGGACAAGAAAAAAAAGTATAGGGCTGTAATTTGACACGCCTTATTGTGCACTCAATACTTACATTCACATAATCCGGAAGTTGCGAGAAAAACATCCGATCACTCACTATTCCTCCCCACGCGTTCAGTTTCCACCGTGTCTGAAAGCTTTTTTCCCTCACCAAGTGACGATTTTCAATAGCGTAATTATGTAAATTCTGTTGATTGAAAATCCCCTCTCTCGTGAACAGGCTTTCATCGATCTACATGATTTGGGCCAAAAAGTTTTCATTCTGGTAATACAAAGCCAGAAACTCTTGACAGTAGTGCAGACGCTGCTCTACATCTCCCGGCTCAATTTTCTGGACTCTGGTGTAGTAAAACGGGTGGAGAGAATTTTCTTTCAAGATGCGGTTCACCGTGGATTTCGGGTAGCCAATTTCTGCTGCAATCTTCCGACAACTTGTCGTCGGGTCTTCCTCCACACACGCCAAGACTGCTTCCTCGTCGTCAAGTCCACGTTGACGTCCTCCACCGTGACCTGGTGGCACAACCACATTCTCTCGCATGCGAGAGTCCACATCCCGGAACACTTGTGAAGTCGGGTGGTGTCGATTCGGGTATGTGATGCGATACAGTCGCACTGACTCGACTGCATCACATCGGCATGCATCATAAATAAGGTGCACATCAGCGTATTCGTTCCCTGCGAAATTCACCATAATTTTCACTTCACGTCTGACTCCGGCAAAGAATCAAACACGGTTGACGAAAACGACTGACTCTCCCTCCCCGAAACACAAAACTTACCTCTTATTTTCGTTATTTATCACTGAAGGAACTTCCAGGAATCTCAGTGTTGACATAAACAGAGGACGAGAGACGATAAAAATACGCAATAACATAGAATTTTGTTTGACTCATTCGTGTTATTTACATCGTCTCTTATTTCCCTTCAATGTTAACATTCAAGATATCGGAAGGTTCTTTCCCTAAGAATCGAGAAATAATGGTACGATAAATAAATAGGTAAATGAGGTAAATATTTTTATTTCATGAGGGAAAGTTATCTATGTTTCATATTTATCGGAATTTGGCATAAAAGGAAGAATGGAGAATTACAGAGTGACTGCACACGTTCATATGAATCCAATTTATGGGGAATTCAAGTGTTCTGCAGCAGAGGCAGCGCGAAGGTACCGCGATAGATGGACCAATCGACAACATCCGAAATCAGGTGTGTTCCAGCAGACTGTGGATGCTCGCATGCACGTAGTGCCACAAGGGAGACCTCAAAGTCTCAGGTGAGAGCAAAAAAAAAAGGTTTTTTTTAAATATTCCCCCCCCCCTTTGGACACATGATTAGGGCCCAGAACCATTCCTCAACCCCGTCTCCTTACTGTATGAAAATTTTGACCTCTCCGATACGTGCGGGGGTGGCTTCCACTCCCTCCAAATGTTCAATTTTCCATCCGAGCTGAGAGCAAAAAGCGAAAAAAAATACTCGCCCACCTTTTGGACACATGATTTGAGCTCGGACTCATTTGTCAACCCCGTCCCCTCACTGTGTGAAAATTTCAACCTCCCCGATACGTGTGGGGGTGGCTTCCACCCCCTCACAAATGTTTCATTTACCTCAATATGTTTGGAGTGAGAACAAAAAATTAAAAAAAAAAATGCTCACCCCTCTTTTGGACACATGATTTGAGCTCGGACTCATTTGTCAACCCCGTCCCCTCACTGTGTGAAAATTTCAACCTCCCCGATACGTGTGGGGGTGGCTTCCACCCCCTCACAAATGTTTCATTTACCTTAATACGTGCGGAGTGAGAACAAAAAAATGAAAAAAAAATGCTCACCCCCCTTTTGGTCCCATGATTTGGGTCCTGAATTGTTCCTCAACCCCCTCCCCTTTCCTGGCTTCCACCCACTCGAAATGTCCAATTTTCCCTACTCCATGCGAACTAAGAGCAAAAAGCGAAAAAAAATACTCACCCCACTTTTGGACACATGATTTGAGCTCGGATTCATTTCTCAACCCCCTCCCCTCACTGTGTGAAAATTTTAACCTCCCCGATAAGTACGGGGGTGCGGGGAGTGGGTGCGGTGGGGAGGGGGGGGGGTGGAAGCCATTCCACCCCTTGAAATTTCCAGATTTCCCTAATCCGTACAAACTGGGAGCAAAAAGCGAAAAAAAATACTCACCCCCCTTTTGGACACATGATTTGAGCTTGGACTCATTTCTCAACCCCCTCCCCTCATTGTTTTAAAATTTTGTCCTCTCCGATAAGTACGGAGGTGGCTTCCACCCCCTCGAAATGTTCAATCTTCACTAATCCGTGTGAACTGAGAGCAAAAAGTGAAAAAAAATACTCACCTACCTTCTGGACACATCATTTGAGCCCGGACTCATTTCTCAACCCCCTCCTCTGACTGTGTGAAAATTTTAACCTCCCCGATACGTGTGGGGGCGGCTTCCACTCCCTCACAAATGTTTCATTTACCTCAATATGTTTGGAGTGAGAACAAAAAATTGAAAAAAAAAATGCTCACCCCTCTTTTGGACACATGATTTGGGTCCTGAATCGTTCCTCAACCCACCCGCTCACTGTATGAGAATTGTGACCTCCCCGATAAGTGCGGGGGTGGCTTCCACCCCCTCGAAATGTCCAATTTTCCCTAATCCATGCGAACTGAGAGCAAAAAGCGAAAAAAAAATACTCACCACACTTTTGGACACATGATTTGAGCTCGGACTCATTTCTCAACCCCCTTCCCACACTGTGTGAAAATTTTATCCTCCCCGATACGCGTGGGGGGTGGCTTCCCCCTCCCCCTTTGGAGGCATGACTTGGACTCAGACTCGTTCCGCAAACCTCCCCCCTTTTCCGTTCAATTTTCAACCCCCCCCCCTCAGTGCATGCCACTGTGCTGTATGTAAAAAAATCAAGATTCAATTATTTAAAAAAATAATAATAAATAAAATAAAATGAATAAATAACAAATTATTAAATTAATAAAATAAATTTAGCCCTAAATAATTAATTACTCATCAATTATTAACATATTAAGTACACAAATTAATAAGGTGCCCCTATATTTCGCGGTTTATAATTGCGTTCAAAAACTTTATATTTCAATATTTTATATGTTGGTAGTATTCAGCTACCGAAGCAGTAAATACTCCTTACATAGCCTTAAAAAATAGTAGTAAACACGATGTCTGTCGATAAGCAACATTTGAGGCACTGCATTCTTTTTGCATTTCAATTTTAAATAAATAAAAACGCTGTAACGCGAGGGTAGATGGGTTCCTCATGATCTGAGTCCCGAAAATAAGGAGCGACGACTGGAGACGGCGCTATCTCTGTTCACTTGATTTGAAAGAAAAGATTTCTTACACAAAATCATTATGGGCGATGAAAAGTGGGTGTTATACGATAACCCTAAACGCAAAAAATTGTGGGTGAATCTCGACGAACCATCGATGTCGACTCCGAAACCCAATGTCTATGCGAAAAACGTGATGCTGAATATCTGGTGGGATATGAAGGGTGATATATATTATAAGCTACTTAAACCTGGCCAAACTGTTACTGCGAAGGTTTATCAACAAGAGCTTATTCATTTGAATGATGCATTGGAGCAAACAGGCCATATACTGGCAGCGGAAGTAGAAAAGTAATTATCCAACATGAGAATGCTTGACCGCATGTCGCCAAAGCCACTAAAGATATTATCTGTGAATTAGGATGGGATGTTCTCCCTCAAGCGGCTTACTACCTATTTCGATCTCTTCAACACCACCTAGCTGATGAGCACTTCAAAACAATCGATGAAGTCCGAAAAAGCATCGATGAATTTATTGAGTCAAAACCGCCAAGTTTCTTTCGCGAAGGAATTCGTCAGTTGCCAGTGAGGTGGAGTAAACTCATCGAAAATAACGGAGAATATTTCGACCGTTAAATGTCTATTTTTTTATAATAAACTCTGATTTCCATGAAAAAAGCACCTTATTAATTTGTATACTTAATAATTGTAAAAACTAAGAACAATCAGAAGTAATTGTGGATCATACTAATTTTTTTCGCGAGTACATTCCGTGCTGTAAGTAGTGTTCCATCGACTATCAGTTTCCGGGTCATGTCGCATAAAAAAAAAACAAAACAAAAATTTCAACAATTGTAAAAAAAAATACTCGCCCCTGAAATTAGTTATTCAAACAAAAACAAAAAGTCCGACCAAAAAAAATGCCAGGATCCAAAAATGGAAAAGGAACTTTCCGCTTCAAAAAGCACCCTCTTCAATACCCTCGAAGGAAAAAGGTCGGTTGCGGGACACCCTGTATATCAAGAGTCACTCTATGAATGTTTTCAGCAACCGACGACATTCAAGTTTCACCTTGGCCCTCTCTTAAAATTAAAAGAGTACCTACATGCCCAACTCCTGGCTGTTTCAGTAAAAAGGGAATGTTGTACTTGGAAGCAATAACCAGCGGATATTTGTATAGGGTTTTACCAATACCAATGAACTTCGCATAACCATTTGAACTACTGGTAAGAAGTTCATGATTAGGTTGTCCACGTTTTAAGGTACCATAAACGAACACACGTTTCAGTGGGCTCCGGAATAAACTCTCGTACATTTCGTTTAACTCGCCATTCACCTTGGAGAACAATAGCATGATTAAACGAATTAATGCAATCAACATGACCAAAGGCTATATAATAATCAAAGAGACGCAAAAGCTTCGATAAGAAAAGTCAAATAACCCGGGTAAACATTGGAAAATAAATCCACGATAAACAATATAGTATATATATCATGTGTTTTTCATCCATTCAAAATCATTCATCAACAAGAGAATTAGAACGAAAAAGGTTAAAATAAATGCAGCCACCTCTTAATGATATCCAAGTGGTTCGGGCGATTTTTTTCTGGGAGAACTTCTCTTCAGAGTTTATAGAATAGGCCAAGAGTATTTTTTAGGTGTAATATCAAAATTTAATAGTAATATCGAAATTTAAACATTGCATCCATAACAACTTCAATAAAATAGTAACGAGATTTTATCGTTACGGGTTGAAATCCCCTCAAATAGAAATTTAGACTCTTGAAATGATTGTAAAGAGAGACAGGAAGAGACATCTAGAGGCAGCTGAAGGAGCCGGGACGAGATGCGAAAAGCCTCACAACAATGAAAGGCTGAAGTCATCACTGAAATATACTATATACTGGAAAGGACAGTGAGCTGCCCGAAGAGAGCCAAGAGAGAGGGTTGATTTTGGAGGCCACCTGTCTCTGGCGTACCGTCTGCTCCAAAAGTATTCTCTTACCTTGGACAAGCATAACCAATGCTGCGCACCACGAAACTGGCGTTTTTCAGGTCTCTCGACACGAAAATTAATATACACACCTCACCATGGAAAACCTATCACCATCCCCCACGTCCTTGCCATCCACCCCTTCGGCTTGGAAGGCAATCTTGCACGTGGGGGACGGAGATCTGTTTTCCAAGGCTCGTATCGGGCATGTAATATACTATGACACATCAATTCACTGTGCATGACTCACCCTAAGCTTCTCAACTCGCTTGTACCCTGGGTCATTTGAGACGTTACGCGCATGCACACTGTAAAGATATTGNGCGCCAGCCGAACCTTCACGGGAGGTTCGACGAAAACCGGCCTCTGAGGCAAACTCGTCCACTCAGAGGACTTCTGTGGCCGGGCAAAGGGTTGCCCAGCTAGCATCAGTGTGACACGGTACAGTGGGCGAGGTCCACCAGGAGTATCGTATGCCAAACGTCACCAGCCACTGTTTCAGGCTGGACATTAAGCCTCACGGCCTAATCCCCCATGTAAAGCGAATTTACTCTCGTCCTGGAGGGTTTTTCACCCTCTCAGTAGGCTTTCGCCTCCCGAGTATGTCGACTCGGGAGGGTTTTCAGAATTAAATGCAAATCAGCTGGGACTCCTCAGAGCCCGGGACGCCGAGAGGCTGATCCGACCAAAGTGGAACACTGTTACCCACTTCACGACCACCCGCGCTCTCGGCCACCAGTTACTGCTTCGGTCATCGCACGTCGCCGGCTCCGGGTACTCGAATGTCGGCAAATGGTCGGGTCGACAGGAGGACGATCTCTACTCCAGACCCACGGGCCCATGCGCACGACATTTGTTTCGCCGAGCCGGATTACGCCAGAAACAACAAAGTCGTCACTAACAGTTCCAAAATAACCCTTTTTCCGTTTGTGGGGGATGCAGGAGCATCCCCCTACGCTCGCTACCATCAGTTATGCACCTAGCTGCGCTGAGCTATTCGCCCACCATTCCCGTGGCCATCTTTCAAGCCAACACCACAGTATATATCGGAGAAATCCTTTCGACTTCCCCGCTCGAGCGTCCGCGTTCGACTAACCCAGAATCTTACTAGGGCCTTCTGCCCCTAGTCTGGATATCTCAGCGACGATAGGTCATTCCGTTACCCTATCCCCACCAATCAACCCGACGGGATCCCTGAGGCACCAGTCCTCTCACCTGGCCGTTGGTCCCTAGTCTACTCTGACATAGCCTATGGAATCACTCAGTTGGACAGCCTGTACGTCGGCCCCTTTTCCCCTAGCACATTCTGGGCGAATTCCAAAATAGCGATAGTCTAGTAACGTCCTCCAGAAGTCCAGGGGTCGCGGTTTCACCCATAACCGCTATGCCTTAGGTCTTTCATCGGTTTGTCGCTCAGTTCATATAGTTGCGGCTTTCTTCAGCCCCCTCTAGATGTGGCTTCATGTCTCAATTTTAGAGTTCACGTATCTTTTTAAGGGGATTTCAACCCGTAACGAGAAAATCTCGTTACAACACCGTCGAAAGAGCGAGAAAGGTGGCCCCCAAAATCTACTCCTCTGGCTCATTTTCCGTTTACGCGTCTGGCATTGCAGTGCCCTTTCCAGTATACTATAGTATATTTCAGTGGAAGTCATAGCGGTTTTGGGTGGAACCGCGACCCCTGGAAGTCTGGAGGACGTTACTAGACTTTCGCTATTTTAGAACTCGCCCAGCTGTGTTTAGGGGAAATTGGCCCGACGTACAGGGGTTCCCACCACTGATCTCTATATTAACTGGATGGTCTATGGTAACGTCCCGACGATAAATTTCGTAGATGACACTATTAATCGGCCATAAATATCCGGGAGATTCAAATTAGAGTTCGAAAATGATTTTGAGATAATAGTGGTAACACGTAGTATATTGAGAAAATAAGGGAAAAGAAGGAACAATGAACAGAGGACAAAAATAACTTCAGGAGCGGGAGAAAAACCGTCGCAGAAAATTGTAAATGTCAAGTATTTGAGTTTTAATCCAAATTTATTGCTCTCTAAAACAAGTCACAGCCAAGGGCTTTTCCGTGAAAACCCAAAACTTTGAGAGAAAAGTAAATTCAACAGTCCCGAGAGAGAAAGAGAGAGAGAGAGAGAGAGAGAGAGAGAGAGAGAGA